GATTCTCATAGTGTCTTGTGTGTGGCTGCTCTAAATAGAATGGCCAGGAAGACCTGGGCAGTGGGTGAGGGTCAGGACTGTGTACCACATGTTTACTTCTTCAAATAGAAAACAAACAGTCTTTCAATGCCCCATTTTACATTTGCTATAACAGATTCATTAAAGTTCACTTGGCACTGAATAAAATTTCATATGAGTTTCATTAGGTGTTAAATTATAATGAGCCTTTGCCATCATCCAGGTTATAGTGTAACAATTAAAGAAGGAACCGTTCAAAACATTAAAATTACAGGAAGCCAGAGCCAGAAGGAACCTTAGAGAACATCTCATTCAACTCCCTCTTTTTACAGATTAGAAACTGAGACCCAAAGAGAACTGATTTACCCAAGGTCATTCAACTAATTAAGCATTCTAGGATTAGATCTGGGATTAGAACCCAGGTCTTTGGGCTCCCAGCCTACTTGTCACCCATTCAGCAAGCACTTTGTGACACCAAAAAATACTCTTGGGATTATTGGCAAAGCATGAAGTGAACCCAGGATCAGAGTGAATTCATTGCATGCCTCATAATCAAGAAATGAGCTTCTTTTGAGAACAGACCGGTTTTCAGCCTGCCTACTTAAAAACATGTGGAAGGGATTCATGGTCAGCTGACCCAAGAGGTCTCTACCATAGCTAACATTCTGTGATTCGTTAATGCTTCCAGTTTTTTACACCAGTCAATATACTTTAAAGATGAATTGATAAGAGATGGTCTTGGCATCAAAGCTGGTCAGCCAAAAGAGAAGGCCTCCTGTATCCATGTGATGAGAAAGGGATCCAATCACATCCTGAATTGATGAGACCCCCTCAGTTCCACAGCTTGTGTCAGTGTTAAAGACTGTGAACTCTGGGTGCAGGGGGCACACATAAATCCTCATGGTTCTAGGACATGGCGTCCCAACGGCTCCCTCTGTAATCGATAAGAATGTTGCCTGAAGAATGTACTTGTTCAGGCTGATTAAGCTCATAAATAAAACCTGGTTCCTGGTTCTCTGTTTTCCCTCCTCTTGTTTTGATGTCTGCATTTTAAACTGCTTTGTTCTCTTCTCTGCTCTCGACTCTGGCAGTTTGTTCATTTCCAGCCAGACTAGAAATAGAATATGCATTGGGGACTGTCTGAACCTGGAGCCTAATTATTTATCACGTTGTCTTTCCTGGGCTCTCCATTTGGTTGGTGGAAATGTGTTTCTGTGTTATGGATTTAGGATGTATTCATTGCTTATGATCATCTGACCCCATTTACAAGAAGCATAGGGAAACCAGAGGCTACAAAGGAACTGTTCTCCATCTTGCGTTTAAGCTTATTCAAGGTGAGCTTTTAGGGATTGTCATTCCAGTGACGTGCATTCATTTGTAGTAGAGGAATCTCTAATTCATTCAACAAACAGCTGTTGAGCACCTAATATGTAAGATGTGTTCTGTGATAGGCACTAGGGATGCAAACATGAGAAATCAAGGCAGTCTTTTCCCTTGGGAACTTCCACTGGAACAGGGAGACAGGAGAGGCCTGTAGGTAAACACAACAATGTACGGGTAGAGTGCTTTAGGGAAATGTGAGAAGGAAAAGATGAGTGTGAGCTGGTAGGGAAGGAGGGATTGGGGGCAAGGTAGTGCCCTCCTCTGCACTGTGAAGGAAAAGGATTTCCAAAGGTGGGGAAAGCTTCTCAAGATGTGTAGCAGCTTGGAAAGACAAGCCTGGAAGGAAGAATGTATGAGAGGCATGATCTGAAATAAGGGTGGGCAGACAGGTTGGGGCAGATTGTGGCGAGCCCTAAATGCCCAAACTAAGGAGTCTGTTTTAGGCTAGGTAGCAGGGAGCCACTGAAAGCTTTTGAGTAGAACAATTGGTCAAACTGCTGCCTTAGGAAAGTTATTTGGCAGTGGTGTGAAAGATTAATTAGAGAGCTGAGAGACTGGAGGTGAAGACTAAGGCGCTGGAGAGGAGAAGGCAAATGGAAAGAGACTCTAGAGGCAGAATCAACATGATTTCAAAACAGATTGGGTAAGGGAAGGAAACAAGCATGTTATGAAGCACCTACTATGTGCCAGGCACTGTGCTAGGTGCTTTCACAAGTATTACCTCATTGTCACAATACCCTGGAAGGTAGGTGCTGGTATTATCTCTATTTTACAGATGCCCACTGAGGCAGACAGACATTAAGTGACTTGCCCAGGGTTCCACATCTGGGAAGTGCCTGAGGCTGGACTTGGATTTAGGTCTATGTGTATCCATCTGCCACCTAACTGTGTTGTAGGGAACAGAAGGAGTTGAAAATGATTCCAAACATGCCCATCTCTCTCCCAGCCTCAAAAAACCCCTCACTTGATCCTTCCATCCTCACTAACTATTGTCCTATATCTCTTCTGCCTTTTGTGGCTAAATTCCTTCAAAAAGCCTCCATTTCTCTCCTTTCACTGCCTTCTTAACCCTTACAATCTGGCTTCTGACCTCATCATTCCACCAAACTGTTGTCTCTTAGTTGTCAATTCCAATGGACTTTTCTCAACCCTCATTCTCCTTGACCTTTCTGCAGCCTTTGACGCTGTTGACCTTAATACTGTCTTAATTCTAGATTTTCAGGGCACCACGCTCTCCTGGTTTTTCTGCCAATCAGGCCCCTCCTCAACCAATCAACAAAAATTTGCTAAGTGCCTGCTAGATGCTAGGCAGTCCATACCCTTTAAGCAAAGGTGTCCCACAGATCTCTGTCCTGGACCTTCTTCCCTCCTCCCTCTATACCTCTTCACTTGGTGATCTTATAGGCTTCCATTGATTTATCTCCATCTCCATGTTGACAATCTACCTATCTTATATCTCCAACTGCCTTTCAGACATCTCAAACTAGATGTCCAAGAGATATCTTAAACTCACTATATCCCAAACTGAACACATATTCCCCTTAAACCTAATTGTCCTATTACTGTTGAGGTCAACATCCCCAGACTCATAACCGAGGAGACATCCTGGACTCCTCCCTGCCTCTCACTCCCCATATCTAGTCTGTTGCCGAGTCCTGTTGACTTCACCTTTACAACATATCTCTTGAATGTGGCCCCTTCTCTCCTCTGACACCACCCCCACTGTAGGACAGACCCTCCTCATCACTTCACACCTGGATTATTGCAAGGGCTGCTGGTGGGTCTGCCTGCCTCAATTCTCACTCCATTCCAATCCATCCTCCATTCTGTCACCAAAGTGATCTTCCTAAAATACAGATCCCACCTTGTTACCTCACCCCAACCCCCAATTCAGTGAACTCCAGGGGCTTCAAATCACCTTTAGGCTCAAACATAAAGTCCTTTGGCATTCAAAGCCCTTCATAACTCAGCCCCTTTCTAGTCTTCTTACTCCTTACTCCCCAACATGGACCCTTTGATCCAGTGATGCTGGCTTCCTGGCTGTTCCACGAACAAGACACTCCGGTTTTTTTTTTTTTGTCTCCAGGCATTTTCGCTGGCTATCCTCCATGCCTGGAAGACTCTCCCTACTTATTCTACCTTCTCAGTTCCTTTAAGTCCCAACTAAAATACCACCTCCCACAGAAAGCCTTTCCCAACCCCTCTTAATTCTAGTGCCTTCCCTCTCTTAATGATTCCCTAATTATTCTGTACATGGCTTGTTTTCTCTCGCATTAGACTATGAGCTCCTTGAGAGCAGGGACTGTCTTCTACCTCTTGTATTCCCAGTGTAATACAATTCCTGTAAAATGATGGGTTCTTAGTGTTTATTGACTGACTGAATGACATGAATTTAAGATACCTAGAGGAAGAGATTCCAGTCTTCCTAAATAGTTAATTTTAATATTCAGAATATTAATTTTAATAGCTAGACCAGTTCACACTTGGACTTTTACTTTAATCCCCTTAATTGGCTGTGGGAACAGAAGGCTTACCACACAGGTCACTGATCCAGCCAGGCCAGTATTTGGTGTTTCTTTTTCTTCCCTATTTATTTATTCTGTCATTTTTTTAAAAACTGGGACAATTAACTCTTTTGTCCCTTGTAGTTTCATTTATGATTTCTTGAAATTGCGCTCTGGAAGACCAGGCTCTGATAAAGCCCACTGGGATTCAAATGGAGCTACTTGATCTTGCCTTAAACCCAAATCACTCTGGCTCTCACTGATTGGCCAATAATAAGTCACGGCCCAAGGCTCACTTAGTTTGTTTGGATTTTGATGGCTCAGAGTATAAATGGCAATTTGTTTTTGTTCTGGACAGAAACTGTGAGGGTCTTCTGTCCTAGTTTGATTTTCTTCTTTTTTTTTTTTTATTGAGTAGGCAAACTAGGCCATCTTTTGCCTCCATTTTTACCTAGCCTTAAATCACTGAATGGGTGTTGCCTCAGGCAAACTGAGACCCAGGAAAGACCTTAGCTTAAAAAGGCCAAGGTCTCCCACTGCATCTGGGGTCATCTCCAGTCTCCTGACCTATGTCTGGCCACTGGACTCAGATGACCTTAGAGGAGAGAGTGGAGCTGATGGCTTTGCACAGCCCTGCCTCACTTCAATCCAGTTCACTTGCAAGTCATGACATCCCCTTCCTGATGCTATTGGTCCTCTTCAAGAACGAAGGACAAACAACAATTCTGTGTCAGACGGTAGCACCAAGGGAAAGAAGGGATGCACTGTAGCAAATCATCATAATCCTTGGCATCAACCTCCATGTTTAGGAACGTGTCCCAAACATCTTGGGTTCCTGAACTTACTTAAGCCCTTTTGAAATTACTTACATTTTTAATTTGTGCCACCACTTGAGGTAGCCAATTACAGACGATTACTCTGCTACATAGCACTCTCTATAATAAGCTAGGCTGTGTGTCATCTGGGTAAAATTGTGCTTCCTTTTCTTGACTTAAAAAATTCCCTTCTCGTACTTCAAGGGACCATAACATGGAGCACATTTCAAAGATGGGTCTTCCTTTGATTGTCCAGTGATTTCTTTTTTTTTTTTTCCAGGAAGGAGATATTTGGCCCAATTCAACAATGCAAATCAGTGTGAACTTTTACCCTCGAGAAGCCAGGCTCTATCAGCAAACAATTTACTGTGACATTTCAGGTACAGAACAGAAGGTCCCAACCAGATGGAGGGCGGGGAGGGGAGATTTCATATGAAAACCAAGGGATCAAAAGGCTCAGACTCAGGGGTCATGTGGCTCACCTCCATCCTTTACCATAGTGAGCTGATGTTCAGTCTGTGTTCCTGTAACAGTGTCGTGGTTATTTCTGGAAGGAAAACCCTTGCAGCATTTGCACGGTGTTGTTCAAGTTCCTTCAAGATCTAAAATCTGACAAAGATCAGGGGTTATGGTGTACTGTGTGTCCCATATGAAGTTATGGTGTGATATTCAGCCAAGAAAATATGCAATCCCGGGCTGTGGTGAGAGGCGAGATACTGAAGACCATGAGGGTGAGAGTGTTCTTGTCTTCTGACTTGGTCAAGCATTTAGCTGTAGTGTTGTGCCCTCTTTTGGGTGCCATCTTTGGGGAAGGACGTTGACAATCGGGAGCACTTTCAGAGGAAGGCAATCGGGATGCAGCAAGGTCTAGACTTTTTGCCATATGCTGATTGGCCAAAGTACTTAAGGATCTTTGTGCTGAACAAGAGAAAACTTAGGGGGACATAATCACTGCTGTCGAGTATTTGTAGAACCCTCAGGTGGAAGGATTGGACTCAGCCTGCTTGGCACCAGAGGGAAGAACCAGGAACAGCCATTAATTGGTAGAAGGTGCAGGGACACATTCAAGCTTTATTTCAGGGGAAACTTCCCATATTTAGAGCTATACAAAAGGGCAGTGGGGACTTCTGGAGGCAGTGGATTCGTCCGTCCTTGAAGGTCTTCAGGCGACCATTTGTTGGGTTTGTTGTAGAGATTTTTGTTCAGACTTGGATTGGCCTAGATGGCCACTGATTGTCTCTTATGACTCTAAGATTCTATGAAAATTGTATGATTCTAATTAGGTCAAAACTGTGTATCCCAGGATGTGCAGAAATAGAATGTCTGTCTTCTCCATGGCGTTGAATACTGTGAAAAAGTAGGTTCTGATTAATAGGCAAGGGACCTGGCTTACACCTGAGGGGTCCCCTCTGAGTCTAGACTGGTTTCTCACTTGAAAAACCCTTAGGCGTATGGGATGGTTCCAATCCTTCACTAACCACGAAGAGATTATAATGGACCAGGAGGGATCCTTGATTTATCAAGGGTTCTGCCTACCTGACAGGTTGTAATCCCTGGTATGTTTTAAAAGTGAATCTAGAGTGGATCCTATCCGATGACCCAGTCCCCCACATGACTCATCTGAACCTATAATCTTTCTAGGGGTGTAGGCATTCTGCAGTAGAGTTGAAAGGTGTCCCATGTTTTATGTACATGGTGCCATCTCTCAGCTCTGTGCCTGGGACACTCTCTCTCCTCATCTCCCTCTCCTGGCTCCTCTGGTTTCTTCCTAAAAATCTCACTTTGTATGGGAAGCCTCTCCTGATCTCCCCTTAATTCCAGTGCTGTTCTTCTGTTGTTTTTCTCCAATTTATCCTGTCTACATTTGCAGTTGTGTCCCTCATTAGATGGTGAGGTCTTTGGGAGCAGGGACCTCTCTTTGCATTCCCAGCACTCAGCATTGTGCCTGGCACAATGCTAAGACCCATGATAGGTTACTGACTCACCTTCTGATTCTGGTACATTCTTCTGGCCCACAACTTCCTGAGGATACTACAATTAACTGTATTCTGGGATATTTCACCACCCTCTGTCAATATTCAAATAATATATGACTGATTACTATTATTTTACCTTTATATCTGTATTTTTAATGGATTTTATCTTTTATCTTTTGTTTTCACAATATTTATATTTCTCCATGTCCCCCCACCCCATCCCCATTAGTCATTCCTTAATAGCAAAGAATACAAAAAGAGGAAGAAGAAAAAAATTCATCAAAACAAACCACATCTAGAAAGATTGACATTATTATATGCAACATTTCAAACCTCTCCCCAGCTCAGCCCTTGCAAAGGAGTTGGGAGAGGAGTATTCTCATATTTCTTCTCTGGGGCCAACCTTAGCCATTATGATTATGATTTCACAGCACTCAGCTTCAATAGTGTTACAACCAATTACTTGTATCAGTCATTTCATTTGGAAGCCTGAGTCCTGCTGCAGTGATCCCATAGAGCTCAGATGTGCTGAATAGGATCATTTTCTATCTAAATGACATTCTCTCTTGACTTCACTAGAGCATTTTGAAATTCACCTGGCAAGGAAGTCCTTTTGTTTGTAAAGTAATTGCATAGCGTTTACTTGGCAAATTCCATGTAATTCTACGACTTAAGCCAGTAAGTTATCTCATTATTATTAATATTACCTGTTATTGTTACTACTACTACTACTACTACTACTAATACTAATAATAATAACAATAATATCGAGGGGCAGCTAGGTGGTGCAGTGGATAGAGCATTGGGCCTAGAGTCAGGAAGATTTCAAATGTGACCACTTCTTGCTTCAGAGACTCAATGATTCCTTAATATTAGGTTAAGAGGTGTTGGTAAAACTTCCTCAGTCTTGGATCACTAGGGAACACCTTCTTACTCTCTCCAATTCATTCTCCATACCACTGATAGACACTTGGAAATAATTAGTAGCACAAAAGAAAACCTTTTGGCTCACTCTTTTGTTACAACACACCTCAATATATAAATATATACTTTTTAATGTAAAGTAGTCAAGCTAACAGAGGGGGAAAGCTTGGGATCTGACAGTTATAAATTGGCCCACTGTTTATTCCATGATCTATTTACAATTTTCTTTCTTGGCTACCCTGAAAGTGTGATCTATATTCAAGACACTTTTCTTTGGACCAGAGAAGTGCAGCTTATCATCCATCCATAGACTGGAGCCATTAGAATAACAGGGTGGGCAAGGAAAGAGCTAAGCTGTTTTTCACATGATTTCAATTCCTTTGTTGAATTCCCTAGAGACTTAGTAATGAAGCAGCCACTGAAAGAAACAACACTAATGAGCCAAAAATAAGGTTGCATACTAGCTAACATAAGGGTCAGTTATCAATGAAAAAATAGTCATGGGGTGAGTGAGTAGGATTCAAGTTTTAGTTTCATCTCTACTGCTACTAGATGGCTGTAAATAAACCCTCTCTTTGGCTTGTGGGGAAGGAGAGGCTGCCTCTAAGTGACTGAGTGCTGTGGGGGGTGAGGGTGTGTGTGTGTGTGTGTGTGTGTGTGTGTGTGGTGTGTGTGTGTGTGTGCATGCGTGCGTGTGTGTGTGTGTGTGTGTGCATGTGTGTGTGCATGTTTACAGCTTCATTATAGAACTGGAAGAGACCTCCGAGATAATTTGATCCAGCCTCTTCATTGGAAAGGAGAGGAAACTGAGACCCAGATCGAATCATTGACCTGAGTAGTTGACTTCCTTGTGAATGTTTTTGCTATTTACATGCAAATCAAATACACAAATATTCAGTGAATAATTCCCATGAACAAGGGGCCTCTAGACATAATTCATGTCCTCAAGGAGTTGATGAGAAAAGGTCATGAACATGAGAAAAGCAAAATGACATGAGACAGTATAAGAAATTATGAAGGTCATAAATTTAGAGCAAGGAGGTACTTTAGGGTCATCCAGTTCAACTGCCTCGTTTTAGAGGAGGAAAATGAATCACGAAGTAGTTAAGTGACTCCTGCAAGGACACACAGCTAACAAGTGGCAGAGATAGGATTTCAATACAGATCCTCTTCTCTGCTTCCAAATCCAGGACTCTTTGCATTATACCATGTCTCTTTCCATGCCACAGGTATTACCAGTAGCACTGAAAATAAATTTGTGAAGATGTGTACTTGTCCATAGTATATCAGTCATGTTATTAATGGTAGCGTCTAGTGGTGCTTCCAAAATAACTGTACTGTTACATTGTGTAACACAGGCTCTGGGGCTACTCTCCCAAAGCCCGATGCACTGTCAGGCAAAATCCCTGGAGGGTGATTGGTCACTTCTCCCCTGGAGTTCTAAGGATAACTTGAAGGTTTGGGGATAGTTTTCTAATACTAAAGCTCAGCATGCTCCCCTCCATTGATTATCAGTTGATATCAGATGCCAGATGGGCTTAATGAGCTTTTTAGAAATGGGCATTTGCTGAACAATTGATACAAATTCCACTACTTCCCCAATCCCACCCCCATACCTGGGGCACACTCTCCCGTACCTATATGATTCAGGGGAAAGGAGTACATGTGGCAACTCACAGCTCCCAGTTCCTGGGTGTCTCTTTCTCCCCTTCCTGGGGTCCTCACCAAGCTCCCGTTTAGGGGAGAGGAGAGAAAAGAGAGAGAGGGGAGAGAGAGAGAGGATGAGAGAAGGAAAGAGAGAAAAGAGAGGAGAGAGAAGAGAGGAGAGAGAGAAGAGAAGCAAAGAGGGAGGAGACAGCAGAGAGTAGAGGGAAGAGAATGAGAGAGAGAGGATGAGAGAAGGAAAGAGAGAAGAGAGAGAGAGAGACGATGTGTGAGAGAGAGAGCAGAGAGGAGAGAGAGAAGATGAGAGAGGAGAGAAGGAAAGAGAGAGGAAGGAGAGAGAGAGGATGAGAGAAGGAAAGAGAGAAGAGAGAGAGACGATGTGAGAGAGAGAGAGAGAGAGAGAGAGAGAGAGAGAGAGAGGAGAGAGGAGAAAAGGAAAGCACAATGGAGCTTTTTACCTAGGCTCCTTCTAGAGTGAAGCTACCTTTCCCAGCGTGTCTAGTTTGTTCTCAGCTCCTGATGTTTATCTTGCCATCAGCCGCTCTGGGGACCCTCCTAAGATACCCATGGAAGTCCAAAACCTTCTGATCTGATTAATTCAATAGCTATGTTCTCATCATTAAAGTAGGTAATTTAGATGAGGTGGGGTGATTGGTTGAATGAATTGACCCCCTCCCTTATAAAGTAGGTAACGTGAATAGTAGACATGGATCCTTTCATAAGGAATTGACATTCCAAATGTCCTAAAGTTAAAGCCATAGTCTGCTGTCAAAAGGCTCTGATCTCTGGTCCTATTCAGTGAGGGATAATTTAACTCCATACCCAGGCATTCTGTGCCTACTGTGTACAAGGCAGAATATTTATGTAACAAAGATACTGGAGGGCCAAGCAAGGAACACTTGAGTCTTAGTAAAATCTCTCATTTTAAATGGTGGCTCAACAGACAAGTCTTTCTCCCTGAATCAGAGCAATTACAAATTATGCGGATGAGAACATTGATAATCCTGAAAAGTTTTCAGTATTTAGATACAGAGAGAGAGAGACAGAGGATGAGAGAAGGAAAGAGAGGAGAGGAGAGAGCAGAGAGAGAAAAGGAGAGAGAGAGGATGAGAGAGGAAAGAAGGAAAGAGAAGAAAGAGCAGAGAGGAGAGAGGTGAGAAGGAAAGAGAGAAGAGAGAAGAGAGAGAGGATGAGAGAAGGAAAGACAGAAGAGAGAGACAGGATGTGAGAGAGAAGAGAGGAGAGAGAAGAGAGAGGGAGGAGAGAGGAGAGAGAGGATAAGAGGGAGAGGAGAGAAGCAAAGAGAGAGAAGAGGGAGGAGAGAGAAGCAAGAGAGAAGGAGGAGGGGAGAGAGAAGGGGGGAGAGGATGAGAGAAGGAAAGAGAGAAGAGAGAAAGAGGATGTAAGAGAGAGGAGAGAGGAGAGAGAGGATGAGAGAGAGAGGAGAGAAGGAGAAAGAGGAGCAAGAGAGAAGAGAGAGGGTGAGAGAAGGAAAGAGAGAGAGATCAAGCAAGAGAGAGAGGGAGGGATGAAAGAGGAGAAGAGAGAGAGAGAGAGAGAGAGAGAGAGAGAGAGAGAGAGAGAGAGAGAGAGAGAGACTGAGAGAGAGAGAGAGTGAGTGCTCTGGGTCTTCTTCTCTTCTGGAGAATTTGTAGCACAAAGCTGCAATAAAAACTGTTCTCTAAAGATAAGAAACTGGCAATATTTTTGTTCCCTAAAGGTAAGATATATCTCCAAAGCTGACTAAATTATCATCCTTGCTGCCCAGTGTAAAAGAGCTTTTGCAGTAATACTAACTTGGCAAGTAAGTGACAATTTGTAAGGCAGAATCTGGTCAGGGAGGGGTGAAGAGAAGGTGGGGATGAGTAGAGGGAAAATAATGCAGTTTCAATCAATAAATCAATCAACAAGCAAACATTTTAACTAAGTGCTAAGGGAGCAGGGTAGAAGTGCCCTTCAGTAGCTTACTTTTTTTTTCTCCAGAGGAGACAACCTGTATATACAGAAATACACACACACACACACACACACACACACACACACACACACACACACACACACAATAACTGGGGCATGAGTATCTGAGGAAATTGGGAAAGACCTGTATAGAAGGCTATGTTTGAGCTGAGCTTTGAAGAAAACTAGTCATTCTAAAAGGCAAAGGGAGGGAGTTCACATATAGGGAGATATACTGAAGAAAGGCACGAGACAGGATATGGAGGGTTGTATGCAAGGAACAGCGGGAAGGCCAGTTTGGTGGGACAGAGGAGTGCTTGAAGGGAAATGATGCATAATGAGACTGGAAGGTGGAATGGAGCAAGTTGTGGAGGGTTTTACATGCCAGCAGGAGGAGTTGATGTTTTACCCCACAGGTAACAGGGTGCCACAGGAGTTGGTTAAGCAGGGAAGCTACACAGTCAGTTCTGTGCTTCACAAATATTGCTTTGGCAACATGGCTCGGAGTGAGGAAACGTTAAGGAAGAGAGACCAGTGAGGCTATTCTAGAGGTATAAGCAAGAGGTGATCAGGATGATGGTGGCGACTATATGACTAGAGAGAAGAGGGTGGATTCCAAAGATCTGTGGGCCTAGGATCAATGAGTTGTAAACTGATTTGTTAGCTGGATGAGAGAAGAGTGAGGAGCTGAGGATGTCTGAACTTGTAAAGCTGGATGATTAGAGGGAAAATGGTGCCTCTATAGAGAAAGGAAAATTTGGGAAAGGAATGAGTTTAGGGGTTGTTTCTTTTCTTTCTTCCTTCCTCCTTTTCTTCCCTTTCTTCTTTCTTTCTGTCTTTTCCTTCTTCCTTCCCGCCCTCCTTCTGTACTCCCTCCCTCTTCCTCTCTCTTTCCCTCCCTCCCCTCCCCTGCTTGTTTCTTCCTTGGACAGGAAAGCATGAGCCAGTAGAAAGGGGAAGAGGGGATGGTTGTGAGGGGCAATCTCCCAGAGAGGATTGCCTTTTAAAATTGCTTCCCCCAACAGGCCGGGAGAGCCGGTTGCCCCTTCGAATCAAAGGGGAAGGAATGGGACCCAAAATTATCTTCAACTTTGACGTGTTGGATATTGGTAAAGCTTTTGTTGGCTCAATACACAGCTATGAGGTAAGCAAAAGAGTCACTAATAAAGTCATTTTATGGAGCTCTTTCTTGATGATTAAAATTGTTTAAAATTTATTTTGCTAAATGTTTCCTAATTACATGTAAAAAAATTTTAATATTAATTTTTGAAAAATTTGAGTCTTTCTTAAATTCTCTCCCTCCTGCCCATCCTTCCCCCACCCCTTGAAAAGGCAAGCAATATGGTGTCCATTTTACATATGAACTCATATTAGCCATATTGCAAAAGAAAACTCACACACATATACAAAGCAAGGATAATTAAGTTTAAAAAGTGTGCTTCAATCTGCACCCAGAGTTCATCAGTTCTCTCTCTGGAGGTGTAGCATTTTCCATCATAGGTCCTTTAGAATTGTCTTAGATCATTGTCTCAATCACAGTATCTACATCTTTCACAGCTGATTGTCATTATGATCTTGCTGTCACTGTACAATGTTCTCCTGGTTCTGCTCACTTCACTCAGCATCAGTCCATACAAGTCTTCCCAGGTTTTTCTGAAGTCTGCCTGCGCATCATTTCTTATAGCACAATAGTACTCCATTACATTTATATACCACAACTTGTTCAGCCATTCCCCACTTGATGGGCATCCCTTCAATTTCCAATTCTTTGCCACCAGAAAAAGAGCTGCTATAAATATTTTTGCACATGTAGGTCCTTTTCCCCTTTTTATGATCTCTTTGAGATACAAACTTAGTAGCGGTATTGCTGGATCAAAGGCATGCACAGTTTTATAGCCCTTTGGGCATAGTTCCAAAATGTTTTCCAAAATGGTTGGAGTAGTTCACAACTCTACCAACAGTGCATTATTGTGCCTATTTTTCCACATCCCCTCCATCATTTGTGATTTCCTTTTTCTCTTTGAAAAAATTTTTAAATAGTCACTTGCACACACTTACAAGTAGTCCTGATTGGTGGGTTAGCATAGGACTGTCACCTCCTCCTTGCTTCTGTAGCTCTAAGGAAAAGCAGTCTCTCTCCTCCCTTCAGCTCCAACCCTAATCTTGAGGAAGGAATCAGAGAGCCTGAAACTCTTCCCCTTTCCCACTATCCCTAGGGCTTTACACCTTCAGTTCAGTTATTTTCTTTTTCTTTTTTTTTTTTTAGTTAAGTTTTTAGTTTGGTAGGCAGCCCAAAGCAGGCGTTCACATAGTGGTCAGAAGAAGTGATACAAGGACACTCTCAATGTCTCTCTGAAGAACTTTGGAATTGATTGCATGACATGAGAGACCTGGCAAAGAATTTGCTCAGCATGGTGTGCCCACATCAAAGAAGGCACTGTGCTCTGTGAGTGAAGCAGAATTGCAGTAGCTCAAAAGAAACACGAGATGTGCACATTTAGAGAATCCACCCCAAATATTTACGTGGAGCATATGTGTCCAACCTATGGTGGAACCTTCCAAGCTTGTATAGTTCTGATCAAGCACAGCCAGACACACAGCATTTTCACCCCAACATAGAGATGTCATTTTCATCCTCTTAAGAGAGTGACGGACAACCACCAACCAATGAGGACTTTACAACACTAAACTGTTAGGGCAGCCTCTTCTGAAATGTGGTTTCTTGTGCTTCCATAATGCCCTGGTTTTGAAAGAAAAGCCACTTAACGGGGTGGGGAAGAGTTATAATTCAGTTCAGAATTTTGTTAAAACCCTGCTGTGCTCAGAACACTGTGTTAGACATTGGAAATGATACCAAATTTAAATAATGGCCTCTGTTAGGACACAAAACAGGCAACTCTAATACACATTTTGCTTTATATTGTATCAGAGGAGGACAGAAGAAAGTGGTATGCATGCGATCATGAGGTGAGGAGATCAGTGAAGGATTGTTGAGATATTTCATGGAGCTGGTGGTGTGTGAGCTGGGATTTAAAGGACAGATAGAAATTCATTAGATATGAGGGTAGAGGGCAATACCACTGCACACTCATCCAACTGACAAAAATAATCTGAATTATGTCCTCTATAAATTGCCCAGATCAACTTGCTTCCTTTACAAGTTGTCCATCAGAAAACCTGCATTTCAGCTCCCAAGTATATATAATGTTTCTGTAAATGCAGCAAATGAGCTTCATTAACATATATCCCCCAATAAACATACAACAATCTAAAGCCGTATTAAATGGGCCAGTGCATTATTACTGGAGGGTTTTGAGAGCTTTGCATTGGCAGGGAAGGACAAGGGAAGGTGTTCCCTTACAGGAAAGTTTTGCATTCTCTGCATTTTAAATGCTGATGCCTCATTACTTCTCTCTATATCAATTTATTATTTTACTTGAGACAAATTTGAATAACTAACCTGTTGCCCTTAGCCAGTGCTGATCTTGGCAGATACAGAGTAAGTAACCCAAAGCCCCAAGCAATGTATAACCCTGGGCTGAGAGTCAAGAGCCTAGGTTTTAGTTTGAATTTGTCATTAGCTAGCTGTTTGACCTTGGGCAAATCTGCATCCTGGCATGCCCCAGCTTCCTTTTCTGTTTTTTAAAGACTAAGTCTCCCCATCTTGTACAGGTTTGGAGTATAGGAATTAATCATGGACCAATGCCACTATTGATTAGCATGGGAACTTTGACCTGCTCTTTTCTGTCCTGGGTCCTTCCTTGGGAAACCTGGTGGTCACCCACTCTCAGAAGCTTATCATATGTTTTTTTTTTTGGCTAGGCAATGGGGTTAAGTGAGTTGCCCAGGGTCACACAGCTAGAAAGTATTAAGTGTCTGAGGCTGGATTTGAACTCAGGTCCTCCTGCCTCCAGGGCTGGCACTCTACCCACTGTGCCACCTAGCTGCCCCAAGGCTTATCATATTGATGCCAGACTTGATGCAGATAGTTCACCAGCTTAGCCCAGAGTTCATGAACTGAGGAGATCCTCCCATTTCAGCTTCCCTGGGAGTTGGGATCACAGGCATATGACACCATGCCTGGCCAGTTTCCTTTATCTGTAAAATGAGGAGACTATATTGGAAGGTCTGTCTGGTCACATTGATCTCTAACATTACATGAATCTCAGCCTTACTGTAATTAAGTAGGAAGATAATGCTAGAGCTGTATTTCCATTTCTTTCTCTTCTAGGAACTGGCTCTTATCTGCTATGCAGATAAGAGTGTGACTCCCCAGTCTTAAATCCTCAACGTTTTACCCCCAATTTTTCCTAGCTTCTGTATAAATAGGAAATAACATCTATTTCTTCATGCAATGGAGAATAAATAATCAAAATCTATGAAAATAGGGGGTGGAGTGAAAAATGTCACCTTTCAAGAGCTTGGAGTAAAAGAGTAAACCAGAGAGGTAACTGAGAAGATAGCAGCGGACTGCGGACTGTGTCTCAGGAAAGAAAAGGAGGAGCTCGGGAGTGATAAGTAGGCAGCTATACCATCATCATAAGTCAGGCTCTTCTGCTGTAGGACCAGGCCAGAAGCCGTGTCCAGCCGGGAACTGAATCTGGAGTCATTTTCAGTTTTACATGGATGGTTGTCTTTCACTTCTTAGGGGCGTCAAGGGCATTTGTGCTTCAAATGGGGGAGCTGGACAAGATGATCTCTGAGGTCCCTTCCAGCCCTAAGGTTTTGTGATTCTGTGCTCAGCAGCCATAGCAATAGCTCACCTATGTTAAGCCACACTATTAGAATAGTATTTTATGCTTGAAAAAATTATTTTCTTACAATAACCCTTTTTTTGAACATGAGCAGACATGTGATATATTAGATAGAGAGCAGGCTTTGAAGCCAGGAAGACGCAGGTTCAAGACCCGCCTCTGACACATGATGTCTGTATGACCCTGGGCAAGTTACATGATCTCCTGGTGCCCCAAGGAACACTCTGGGACTTTAAATTGCAGAGAAGGAGCAGGTCTGACTTGGGAGATGGCGCTTCCTCACCCATTAGAGTGGGAGCTCTTCGAAGGCAGGAACACATTTTGACCTTTCTTTGTGTCTCTAGCACTTTGGCCCAGTGCCTAGCACATAGAAAGAGTTTAAGAAATGCTTCTGGTTGAGAGCTCTCTATTCCAGTGTGATCACAGGTCCAGGGCCCAATCCCCTATTGGACAGCTACTGTGTGTGAAGCATAGTGTTAATCAGTGAGAATAGAAAGTGTGTAGGGGATGGCTCCTGCCTCCAGGGAACTCACATTTCAGAGGAGCAAATAAGACATATATATATATATATGTATATATCAAAAAAGGCATCAATTCCTAAGTGAGATATTAACTATCACAGGAGGTCAGTGTAGGGAGAAAACTCTATGTAAGAGCAGCCTTGATCTAGGTCTTAAAGAATGGGCCAGCCTTTAGGTAAAGGAAGAGAAGGGACAGAGAACTATTTTGAACAGGGTGAACAGAAGTAAGAATGATTTAGATGACAGGTGGTTGACCTGTATGTTTGGAGTGGAGAACTGGGAGAGACTATGTTGGGGGCTGAGCCAGACATTCTCTAAGGTCCCTGTTCCCCTAAAATTCTGTGAATATTTGAGTTTTCATCAAGAGTGGGTAAAATGCTCTGAAGGGGTGAAGCCAGAAGTATAGGACAAAGAGTCCTTATCATTCTGAATCTTCATATTCAACTTCATTCATTTCTAAATTAATGTGGTTGTGAGATCCAGCTAAGCCCGATTCTGTGAGACTATTTCTGTAATGAGGTAATTTGGGCTCCTCTAACTTTGCTTTTTCTCCTGCTCTCAGTTACATAACCTCAGTTTACTCATCTATAAAATGAGGACCTCCCACCTAGCTACCTCACATATTTCAGTCAGTGTCAGAAAATATATTTAAAGCTCCTCAGAGAAACATCCATTAATATGTAATTATCATAAATGCTTATGGAGCCCTGAGATAAAACATAGGTATTGCAGATTTTAAAACTTCATTTTAAAGGGGAAAATGTAAGCAGTAGATGATTTGCCTAATTTCCTATTCTTGACTTATGATATTCCAAACATTAGGCCTGGAGTTTTCTTAACCTGGGGTCAATACTATTTAAAAAAAAAAAGTAAACTGTTTTTGATAACTGTATTTCAATATATTTGGCTATCTGACACATTTTAAAATGTTGTTCTGAGAGTGGGATCCATAGGCTTAACCAGACTGCCAAAGGGGACCATGACCCAGAAAAACATTCAGAACCACTGCATTAGATGGTTCGTTTTCCCCCTGGTGCCTTTCTTTGCTTAGAATTCCTGTCACTTTTTCTGCCTTAATCATCTCAACCCAGTGATTCCATGGAAACAGGGCAATTCGTACCTTTGAAAAGAAACATCCATTGCAGAGCTTTTCATTCTTGCCTTCCCCTCCCTGCTGTAGGCCATTCTGTCCAACAAGGGCAGCATCGATGCCCTCTTTAATTTGGACCCTCCAACAACACCTTTGGGATCCTGTTTCATCTTTAACCCCAAGGAAGGCATCGTGGAGCCCTCAGGGCTACAAACCATACAGATTTCCTTCAGCTCGAGCATCCTGGGGCACTTCAGGGAGGAGTTCCTTTTCAGTGTCAACGGATCCCCAGAACCTGCGAAACTGACCATCAGGTAAGGAGCTGGAAGCAGGACTTCAAACGTCAGCTTTCTGGAATGCGGCTTCTCCTAGGAACGCACACATTAGCATTTTCCCCACGGGCAGGTGGAAACACTATTGGACATTGCTATAGATGCTGTCCTGGGGAAGAGCAGCATGTGGCTGAGTCACTAACTCGAGTTCCGTGACCTTGTTTGCCAATATTTAGAAGAATGACACCTTCTGTACCAACTGCCCTTTCTCTGTTTATGTTCTGCCTTCCTGAGCAAAGAGATTGTGATCCCCTACCAGCCTTTGTTTTTGTATGAAGACTAGTTCTCATTAGGCACACAACACATTGTGCTTTAGTTAGAAAAAACTGGGACTCTCTGCATTCATTCATTCATTCATTTATCCAATAAACATTTATTGAGCTTTAGGCACTTTTCTAAAAAAGCAATGGAGAAAAGGAAGTCCAAAAGCTTACTGAAGAAAATACTGCCTTAAAAATTAGAGTAGAGCAATTGGAAGCTAGTGACTCTATAAGAAATCAAGGCACTGTAAAACAAAACTGAAAGAATGAAAAATAGAAAACAATGTGAAATATCTCATTGGAAAAACAACTGTCCTGGAAAATAGATCCAGGAGAGAGAATTTAAAAATTATTGGACTGTCTGAAAATGTAGTGGATCCTGGTTCTGCTGCTTATTACCTGAGTCATCTCCCTTCTCTGGGCCTCAGTTTCCTCATCTATAAAGTCATGTGAGGAGCTTGGGTTAGGCAATCTCTAAAGTCCCTTTCAGCATTAAATCCTACTATCTTCTTCCCTCCATACCAATAATGCTTTTCATGGTGTTATTTGATTTTAAAATTATTTTCACCTCTTCTATCTTATTGGATTCTCACAATAACTTTGTGACTAGGCATGGCAGGGATTCTTCCCTTGCTTATACTTTATCACAGGATGAGGAAACCAAGGCTCAGAAAGCTAGAGAGTTTTTCCCCCTAAGGGCCCATAAATAAACAGAGAGGTGAGAGACAGGCATTCACAGCAGATGATTTGAGATGGCTGGGAAGAGGCCCTCCATGATGAACCTAGAATGTTACTGGTATACCAGAGGTTAAGTCAACTGTAGAAAAAAGTGGGTGTTTATTACAAATAAGGAAGTATTTAGTAGTGGTAATTATGTCCAAGCATCAGCAACAAAGTTTTCTTATATCTGGGCATCTGTAATCATAAAACAAGGCCTATGTGTAGGAGCTTACTCTTGACTTTTTTGTTCTCCCCTTATCTATTTAGAATATTAATGTTTAAAATGAACAGGCCCACACATTTGTTTTTGACATGAATTCCTATTTTACATATTATATTCCTTGTGCTTTCTCACTCAAAGTAGTTCCATTTTGACTTAATTCTGCTGAGGTTGTTGGGGTTTTGGGGGAGTTTTTTTGGTAGACGCTGACTAAATTAGTAGGTAAGGAAATGATCCATGGTGGACTCATTGCTTCACCAAAGTGGTATGTAAGGTCGAGTCCTCTGGTGGGCTAACCTGTGATTTTTAGGCCTAACTTTTTCCCAAGTGCCTTATTAATTGTAGCAATAACCAAGGACCCTCAGGTTACCCATGGTTTCGTTAATTCTTTTGCCTTTCTATCTTCCCTATACAGAGGCTGTGTCATTGGGCCAACTTTCCATTTTAATGTTCCATCCTTAGATTTTGGTGATGTCTCTTTTGGTAAGTATTTCCTGGGTTTTTAATTGGGAATTCCATAGAATGACCTTCCACCCTTGTGAGAGAAGGGGATTACAGCTTCCATCTTTGTATTGTGATGTCTGCGGCACAATAGTTAGCTCAAAGTTGACCTACAGAATCACCAGAGGGTTAGGGAACTATTTGTACCATTGATCTTCTTTGGTACAAGTGGTATTCCCACAGACCAGGATGTGTCAGAGCCTTTTCCCAGTTTCTCAGGTGCCATGAGCCTTGAGCATTTTCCTGTCTCAAATCTCTTTTCTTCCCCTATTAAAATCATAGTCTGGCTGACATACTTTACTCCAGCTGTCCACACATTCAGAATGGAGCCATTTAAATGCAGATTTTTTTGACTAGCCAGGCTCAATCCACAAAAGGCTTTTCAGAGATGATCTGAAACTTAAACGTGAAATCAATGGAGAATTGATTGGAGATGCATCATCATTCTCTGCAGAAGATTCTCTGCCCCAAGATTCTCAAGAAAACCCATTCCCTTCTCCAATGACTTTCTACTCGTTCTTTCCTTTTGTTTCAAAACCCTATATTGCTCTCACTGGAGAGAAAGGATAGAAAATTCAGAAACAGTTCTTATATAATGTCAATCTTTTTTTTTCCCTAATGTGACCATTTTACTAGAATTGGGTACTTTCTCAAATCCATAGTTATATCTTTGTTTCTTTATATCTTTTTTTTTTATGTTGTGGATTCCTGTGGCAGTCTGATGAAGCCTAAGGATCTCTTTTCAGAATCATGTGTTTAAATGCATAAAATAACATATATCACATTAAAAAGGAAACCAATCATATTGAAATAAAGTTGTAATTTTTTCCCCTCCAAGTTCGCTATCCCCTAAAATTTATCCACAACCACTCAGGATCTCAGGCTAAGAACCTCTGGTTTAAAGCATTAATTACTATTTAACTGACTTATAATGAGGACTCAGGGGAGTCCCCTTGATCTCCTGGACAGGCAGTTTCTCTGGACCCAAGCTCACCCCTGACCCCTTCAATGGATAGAGCTGGTCCCCTGCCAAAGGATCAGTGCTTCTAGTTGGTCCCCCATGGACCTCCCTGACCCCAGCCAGGAGCTCAGCTGAAAGAGGCTTGGCCACTGGGCAGCAAGAGATTTCTCATTCTTCCATGCAGACTTGCAAGGGAGAAACACTGTGATTCTTGCTCTTTTTAAACTCTCTCTTAGCCTGGTGGTTTGTAACTCGACTTGGCCCATAGGGAGGAAAGGCGAGCAGGAATCTACGAGAAGCCTCCTTAGCAAAGGGACTCACTCACTAAAAGGAACCAGGGAGTGCACTCAGCTCCAGGGGGAGGGCTTCTGTCTAGGCAGCCTCCATTATAGCTTCCTACTGACCCATTGGTCACCAGGGATTCTCTTAGGGATCAAAATCTTTTTTAAAAAAAAATCAAAAACAAAAATAAAAGGAATTCTAGAACCCATTTAGCCAAATCCAAAACTCTCATTTTAATAGTGAAAAGATGGGGACCCATACGGGAAGTGACTCACACAAGGACTCATAGTCACTAACAGAGCCAGAATTTGAAACAAGGTCATCTGACTTCCGATCTCGTGTTCTTCCCAAGATGCTGTGGCTGCTCATCCCCTTTGTGTCCCTTCCTGAGGAATCCTGCTGCTAGATCAGTTATGGGTATAAAACGATGGACTGAGAAATGGTCCAGTTCTGTGGAATTATGGAATTCTGGATTCTCATATCCATTGTTAAGCTACATATCAATGACAACTATTCCTTGCCCCAGTTTCTTTATCTGTAAAATGGGTGTGATAGTTTTCTCTGATCAAACAGGCACATGAACACTTCAAAACAGTCCTAACACTAAAGCTTACATCACTCTCTGGAGGAGAAAAAAAATGGGGCAGTGTGGGTAAATCTTAGCTTAGATAGAAACCTGATTTCAAGCTCTTTCTTAAAATCTAGATCCTATCACCCCCCACAAAAAGTTTTTTTTAAAGAAGTAATTCTATATGCTTTTTTGACAAAAAAAAATGAAAATATATGCCTATTATGGGTAATCAGAATATGCATCCAGGAAAATAAATTGGATTGGCCATGAACTTTGTTTTGGTAATTAGCTACCACTTTCTTATTGGAAGCAGATGTCCCACTGATTAATATCTGGAATGTTTTGTTTGTGTTAATTTCCTCTGGATGTACTTCAGTAACAATTGTGGGGCAGCAGTGGCACCTATAACATTTTACAGACTATGTTTTATCATATTGACAAAGTGTTTTATGGAAAAGACCGGAATGCAAAGGAAGAGTTAGTATCAGAACAATAATGCACATTTGTATAATACTTTCCTGACAACCCGGAGCAGTAGATAGTGGACATATTGTTATTATTATCCACAACTTACAGATGAGGAAACAGAGTCTCAGAGGTGTCACTTACCCAAGATCACTCAAGTAGCTGCAGAATTGTTATTTGTACCTAAGCCTTCTAGCTCATCCCTCCCATACCCTTTCTGACCTACCAGTATTAGCCATACATTTTTCACCTTTCAATGGTAGCAAAATGACTGTGGTTTGCTCTTGTTATCATACCGTGCCCCCAACACAATTTAGTGGAGATAGATTTCTAACACTTATCGGACATTGCTTTCTAGCCCAGAGGTTCTGGCATTCCCTAAAAGAGGATGCACCTGATGCCCTGAGCATTACTGGTGGAAAGGGAACCTCTGACTTGGGTTAGGTGGTGGCTAGCATTAACAGCCTTTTTTACCCAGAGAGATTTGTGTTTAGTGAGGAATCAGACTCAACCCTGTTTAATAACACTAAACTTGTTTTCAGCACCTCAAGTCAGTGGAGGGATCCTTGGCACTCTAGGAAGGCCAGGGCGGTCCCAATTTGTCTGCTTTGTAAAGCAATCTGGCCTTTGCCTGTTGACCTATCTATAACGGGCCCTTTTTGCCCCTTGGATCTTAGGAATAATAATAATAATAGCTTGTACTGATAAGGCACTTTTAGGTTTACAAGATGCTTTGTATATATTATCTAATTGGGAAGGAGGAGCAAGTAGCGGCGGCCTTCCACCCACCTAATCCTGCCCTATTAAGCATGTGCTGCTTTGGCAATGAGAGCCCATTCAATGTCCAATAGCTAAGGCGTAGGTGAACGTGGACAAACAAGTCAAGACCGTGCTTGGAGTTCCTAAGCCATGGTACTCTGCTATTAATATTTGAAAATTAAAGCAAATTGGTGTTAGGACCATAAAACTAGGGCTGGAAGGGAGGTCAGAGGCCAACCCCCCATTTTACAGTTGAGCAAACTGAGGCCCATAGAGTGCCGATGACTGGCGCCAGGTCACCCAGGTTTAAGGAAGTTTCGGAGGCTGCTCTGAACCTACGACTCCACAGTCATTCTTCTTTCCCCTGTGCCATACCGTCTCCCACTTAACTGCATATTTGTTGAGTATTTGATTTTGCTTTTGTCATGAATCCTGTGCACCAGCAAATTCGATGAACATCTCTTCTTCGTCTCTCACGTTGCTCTCCAGGGTTCCCTCGTACTTTGACTTGCTCCCTCAATAACACCTCCTTGATCCCCATGACCTTTAAACTCCGTGTCTCTGGGGATGGTGTCGGAGAGCCAAGTGTCACGAGTTTGGAACAGACTTTAGACATCAACAAACCGTCGTGGAAGAATGGAAATCCGCCAGCAATTAAGCCACGAGAATTCACCATTAACCCCGTTTCAGGCACCATCCGATCTCAGGGATTTGCTGCTATTCGGGTACAATGTAGAACCTTCTCAGTGAGAGGGCAGAACACTTGATTTCTTAAAAGTGTCCACTTTAGTCCATCCCAGGACTCGTATTGTCTTGCCAAGGGTGAATGGAAACAGAATCTGGATATCCTCTTTTCCTCTTCTGGTACTCCCTTTAAAATGCGGGCCACGTCCACACAGGCAGTAGGAATAAAATGAGAGAGAAGTCTGTGTCTTCAATAGCTCTTGGAAGGAAGAGATTGAAAGAAAAATTCCATTTGAAATAACTACAAAATGTTTAAAATGCTTGAGAGTCTACTACCATGACACATATATGCACATTCACATAACTATATGAATACAACTTCAAAACTCTTTATGGAAGTAAAGACAGACCTAAATAATTGGAGAAATTTTAATTTTTCATGGGTAGGTCACAACCTGTGACTACTTACTTCCAATTGTAGATTTTTCTTTACCTGATCATTTGTCTGTCTTTACTTGTGGCCCCAATTGCAGCCTGAAATGTTTGCTATTAGACTCTGCTATGAACCTTATGAGTCATGAAACTCTTAACTCATGCTGAAAAAGATTTCCAAAAAAAACCTCACTATTTTTCCTAGAACAAAGCGTTTCCAAACAATGAAGCAGACAAGGTTTTGAAATAATTACAAAGTGATTTCATGACAACATATCTAGATCCAAGGTCAAAATCACTGGCCAGTTAAGATCCTGAGATTAGCCCTTTGGAAATTCCTATTTTACCTCTTAGGTGCCCTCTCTAAGCAGGAGCCATCTCCTGGAGGTGGTTAGATCCCTTTATTTCAGGGGTTCCAGACCTTCTTTGTTGCCATAGACCTTGGGCAGTCCGCTATGGATCACTTCTCAATGTGTGAAATAACATGCATACGATTACACAGAAAACCAATTAAACTGAAGCATGGTTTTCAAAAAAAAATTCAAGAACAAGTCGACCAGACACACATTAAGAATCCCTGCTCCCTTCTGCACTGCTCAGGGCTTCCTCTCTACAAGAGGGACACTGGCAATTATGGATTTAAGAGCAGTGCTGAGGGACCTTCTAAATTTTGGAGGTGTGTTGGGGGCTTGGGAGAAGTGATCCTGAACCTGAGGGAAGAAAGCACTACTTCTCTACCTCCACCCAGGACTGGAAATGTCTTTGTAGATATTTTCTATTTACTAATCCGTGTACATATTGTGCCCCATCCCCACTAGACTGTAAGCTCCTAGAGGTCCTAGCACCTAGCACTGTGCTCACATATGTTAAGTATTTAATAGATGCTTGTCAAACTGAATTGTATATAAGAGGAGTTTAATAAATACTTCTTGAATTGATTCCCCTAGTCAGGGTAGGAGGATGGGTAGAGGAGAAGAAGAAAGGAAGAGATTTTTCAGGGGCTCAATGGCTTCATACTGTTCTTCTCCCTCTCCATCACCCCCTTCCCACCAGAGGGAAAATGACTGTTGTAAAAAGCCCAATGTGAGTGTCTTCCTCTTTCTCACCAGGTAACCTTATGCTCCAACACTGTGCAGAAGTACCAGATGGCTCTTGTGGTGGATGTAGAGGGCATTGGCGAGGAAGTACTGGCACTCCTCATTACAGCAAGGTACCTGGACTCATAGCCTTTGACCCCCAATCTCAGTGTCTGTCACCCAGGGCAGGTTGTAGCCACAGCAGCGTGGGCTCCCAACAAGCCTGAAGTTATTCTGCCTTCACAGACACTGAAGCTAAACCTGATATTCAAATGACAACCAGCTAGTACGCATCTGAGGCCAGATTTGAACTCAGTTCTCCTGGCCTCCGGGCCCCGTACTCTATCCACTAAGCTATCTAGCTGCCGCTTAGATTATAAATATGTGCATATATATTTTTACAGAAACATTCTTTGTATGCTAATGTGTGTACACATCATCTCTCTTTATAGAACATAAGCTCCTTGAGGGCAGGGACTATTTTATTTTTATCTTTGCATCTCCAAAGCCTTGCACAGTGACTGGTACAAAGGAGGTACTCAATAAATGCTTACTGATTGATGCAGCATCATAGAATCCTAGGATTTTTAGAACCGGAAGGGACCTTTGAAATCATATGATATACCTCTTACTTTATAAGCAAGGAAATCGAGGTTCTAAAAGCGTCCCATAGAGAGTGACCTTCACCACTCGATTATGTTAACTACCGTGGATTTAACACCTTTTCCTCAACTGATTAAGCTTTTTTGACAATTCCACCCAGATGTCCTTCAGTGTCTCAGCCTCCATATCCGATGTGGAGCTGATTCTCTGCTGCCCTGGGGTCCCCCCTCCTCCAGTTTCGCAGCTTTCTGAGAGTCACTCAGGTTCATTGCCTCAGCTTGGCGTTACACTTGCTTCTCTCCTCTCCGTCCTCCCCAGATCCAGTAAATGGCCAAGACCTCTCCGCATAGCTCTTGCCTTGCTCCCCTCCCTTCTCCCTGCTCACATAACCACTCTGGCGGCTCAGTTCATCATTCCCTCTCGCTTGTTCCACCATTCAATCTTTCCGTCTCCCATCTCTCCTGTTTCTAATACACGCTCTATGCAGTTGCCAAGTTAATCTTCCTAAAGTGCCTGTCTAAACTCCTGCTCAGAAAGAACCAGTGGCTTCCTCTTGCCTCTGGAATTAAATCCAAACTGGCCAGCCCACCACAGTGTGTCTGAAGCTGACCTGCCCGGCCCCCTTCCTGCATTCTCTGTCTTAGCCAAACGGGACGACTTAACTGTCCCCCAAACTCGAAGTCCATTTTCTGCTGTCTCCCTTGCCTTGTCCTCTTCAGCTCTGCCTCCCAGAATCTTTCCGTTCCTCTAAGGCTCAGCTCGGGGGCCACCTCCTCCACAAAGCCTTAAGGGATCTCCCTGTGTTAATAGAGGTCTCTGCCTCCTCAATTTATCCATTTACTCAATTCACTTCTCTTTCCCCATGTTAACATTCACCCAATAGAACATAAGCTTCCTAAGGGCAGAGAATGCTCTATTTTTGTCTTTGTACCCCCAACACTATTTCCAAGTTTTGGGCATGATAGGCATATAATAAACATTTAATAAACAATTTAAATTGACCTAAGATGAAATCATGAGACCTTCTTTGATTAGCATGTGGATCAAAGACTATAAAATTTGTGGATAGAAAGTTCGGCCTGCTGTGAATGGGGATATTGACCAATAAGCTGTGATAAAACTAATGGGTCTCTGGGTCACCAGATTTTTAGATCTCTTTTGAATCTGCCGCTGATATAATTTAAAGGTGGCATAACAGCAAGAGAGAAACAAATGAGCAACTTCTTACACATGCCTAGGGCCTGGATGAAATCAAGTATCATCCTGAAAATAATCTGAAGAAGCTCTTCCTCCATTGGAAAACTCCCGGCTGCTCTGTCCTGACCTGCCTTATTAGTCAGTCAGCAAACATTTATTCTGTGCCAGGCCTTCTTCTAGGCCCTGAGCACACAATAACAAAAGTCTCTTTGGGGAGCTCACAATCCATGTAAACAAGAAAACATTTGCATGGATAAGCCCATGTAATGGGGGTGCTGGTGCCTGGCCAGATCACATACCATGGTGTCACCCACAGGGGAGATCCTTGGGACCTGCTCCTGGGAGCAGGTTCTATGTAGGGGTATGCTGGAGCCAGCTCAACCCTGTACCAAAGGTCCACCTGTTAAATTCTCAGTATGAGAATGTACATCTTAAGAATCAGCAAATTCTACAAATCAGGGCTGGGTTTGTTGGGTTGTTTTTAAAATTATCTAAACTTAAGAAAATTATGGAGAAAATGTTGATAATGTACATTAAACTTAAAAGTATGCCATGGGTACCTTTTTTTTTTTTTACTTACCAGCACACCACTGGTTACACATGTCAAAAATAGAAACAAAATAGACACAGGGTGATTGAAAGGAAGGTATTACCAGCCAGGGGGCTCAGGCAAGGCATGGAACGTTAAAGAAAACTAGGGATTGTAAGAGATGGTGGAGAATAGGGAGAGCAGCGCAGACATGAGGCCCAATAATGCAAAGGCATGGCGATGGTAGATGGCCATCTGCCATCTACATGAGGAATAGTGGAAAGGAGAGTTTAAAGGAACTGTAATGTCTATAGGAGAGAGTAGTAAATAATAAACCTGAAAAGATATATTGGAGCTAGGTTGTGAAAGGTTTTAAATGCCAAACAAAGTAGATTATAATTCATTCTATGATAATAGGGAGCCACTAGACTTCATTGGGTAAGGCAGTGACCCAGATAGACCTGCTCTGGAGAAAAATCACTTTGATAGCTTTGTGTGTATGGGGGGAGGTATGGATTGGAGAGGGGAGACCTATTGAGATGCTACTGCAATAGTCTAGGGAAGATGTAATGACAACCTGAACTAGGGATGCAACTGTGTGAGTGGAGTAAAGAGGACAGATGATGTCATGTTGAAAGGCTACCATTTAACAATGCTTTGGATGTGTGGGGTGAGGAGCTAAGGATGGCAGAAAGAGTGCGAATCTGGGTGACTAGAAGGATGTCATGCACTTATCAGAAATAAGGAAGTTTGGGGAAAGAGTGAGTCTGGGGGGAAAGTTAAGAAGAGAAAATCTCACTGGTTTGTGGCTTCAGAAGGAAAAGGAATCAGATCTCCTGCCCACTGAGCAAGGGCAAAGGTTGTTGTTGTTGTTGTTGTTGTTGTTGTAAGAGATGAAACAAAAACAGAATGACCCTTTGAGTGGCCAGTCCTATATCCAGCAGCCTGCCATCTCCTTTACATGGGTCAGTCTTGGAAAATTCCAGATCCTTTATCCTCTGGGTGCCTAAGTATTCAACTGGGGTTGAATAGAAAAGGTCATGGTTCTGAAATCCCATGAGATTCCTAGATGACTTGCTATAGTTTCTTTGGCCACGTGTGGAGGGTGGATTATTCCTTATCTTCTAAGGATCAGATTTTAGGCAATTAATTTACATTGAAGGCTGCTTTAGTAAATAATAGTAATAATAATAATTTTGCAAATTCCAGAAAAGTATATTGAGCTAAATATGAAACTTTGTCCCTTATCCATGTCAGTCCTCAACTTTTTAGAGTAAAGATAGAGTAACTACAGTCTGTTGGGTGCTGAGGAATTCAGTCTCATTACTCTTTAGGACCCACTGACCAAGTCCCTATGCTAAATGTTGCATTATAAAATTGAGAGGCAGAAGGGTCTAAGGGGAAAGGCACTGGACTGAGAGTCAGGAGACTTAGGTCAAGTCTCAGCTGTGCTACTGACATGGACAATGGGGTGGTCTTGGTAAAATCCTTTCCTCTCTCTTGGTGTCAGTTTCCTCCTCTGCAGAATGGCAGAGCTGGACCAGAGCATCTCTGAAGTCCCCTCCTGTTTTGACACTCAGTGATTCCAAAATCTACCCTTCAGAGTAGATCACCCTCCTTGCCGTCCCTCCCAATTAGAAGGCAACCTGCATCCAAATCCAAACTATTAATTTGTGACAGGTGTACTATGCAGTTAACCACAGGGAGGATAGGAATGCCATAAAATAAGTTAGAGTTATAAAAAAAAGTTGATCTTTGATTGAAACCTTGGAAAAATTGATAAAAAAAAAAAGTCCATCTGGGGAGTAAAAGACCAGAGTCACATCATGAAAAACCTCTCACGAAATGGACCCCTTGACCTCTTGGAGAAGGGAATCTTCCAAACTATGAATGAAGTTGTGCTATAGAATTTCTCTTGCCAGTTCTGGGAACACCAGCTGATGGGATCTCTTCTTCCAGCACAACTCTTCTACACAGTATTTGCAATTAGGGTCTTTTAGATAGCATGAGGGCTTGCTAACAGCTCAGGTGTAGCTAGGGAAGGGCTTTCTGAGCAGCACAGAGGGTGAGAGCTTGCCATACTATTTGGGGTCGTATGCGAGCTATCCTAAGCAAGTTTATCCTAAGGAGGTCCAGACTCAAGAAGGCTGAAAAGGAGAACATGGCAGGAAATTGGAGCCTTTACTGACGCTGACCCACTACAATTTCTCCCTGCATTCTTTGCCAAAGGGTGTTGATTTAAAAAGTAGGTGGGAGGGGAGAAGGAAAAAACAGAAAATGATTAATGTAGTTATCAGTGAAAAGGTACCACGTGACAATGACAAATGCTTTGTGCTTGTTTCTCTGCATAATCTGGGGATAAACAGGTTCTCCGCTCTTTTGATTTATCTGATATTCTTTCTGGACTAGGTGCGTTGTGCCTAAACTTCGTGTGGTTAATCCAGTGCTGGACTATGGGTGCTGCTTCCTGAAATACCCTTACAGGCAAAAGGTGGGGCTTGTCAACGATGATGACCTCCCGGGATGCTATGGAGTTCTCTTACAGGTAAGTTATTGTCCTGTCCCTCTCTTTCTCTCCCTCCCCTGTTCTTCTCGCTTTGTCTCTATCTCCATCTCTCCCTATCCATCTTTTGTTTTTCTCCCCAGTTTTTCAGGATTCCCTTAATGAGGAAAAAAAATTCTTCTTAAATGACCTCATTCTCTGGCATGTGGTGCACTGTAATCCTTGCTTTCAGTTTCAGGAGCATTTGGGAAGGTTTCTATCCATTCAGCTGGCCCTCCAGCTGTGGGAGTAAACATCTGCAGGTGCAATTAATCGTTAATGGTCCAGGAAAATTATCCTCACTGAAAAAGTGGTAGGACCAATTAAAGGAGCCTACAGAAGGTGCACCTGCAAATGATTTCATATAATTTTATAGGTCATAGGAAGTAAGGAAGAAGAAGAGCTGCTTAAGATAGAGCTGTTTGACATTCACCAAGGGAATGGCAAGACCAGAAAGATATAGATGGTTCATGGCAGAAAGTAAGAGGGAAAAAAAGTTGCTGTGGTCTTCTATGTTAAGGCTGTCTATCCTTTGATACCCTGGGTCTAGGAAGAAAACATTTCTGGATAAGAGGTTCAAAAGGATATCGACAGGCTAGAATAATGGGCCGAAAGAAAGAAAGAAAAGAAAATCTTGTGGATTTTAAATGAAAATTCTCTCCTTAATTTTTAAAAAATCAATTGCACAAGTGTATTTTAAAAGAGACGTGATTTAAATTTACAGTTTGTGGGGGAAAGATCTCAGGTTCTTAACTGATAATGACCTGCACAAAGTGGGGCCTCGCTGCTAAAGAATCTCACCTTGCCATAGAAGTACAATGTCCAAATCATAGCATGTAAAAGAGTCACTGTAGGCTCTAGTGGCCAGAGTACATCTGGAACACTGTCTTCAGTTAAGGAGGGCGTTGGAAAATTGGAGAATGTTCAGAAGGGTGGTAAAGAGTCAAGGGGTGGTACTTTAATAGAAACATTTGATGAAACAGAAGATCTAGAGCTGCTAAGGTACCCAAGGATCCTCCAGTCCCTCCTCCTCCCTTTATAGATGAAGAAACTGAGTCATGGAGAAGTAAAGCTTCCCTGAGCAGTAACCACCAAGCTGGAACCCAAGTCCCCACCCTCCAGCCCCAGCCCCGGGGCTCTCTTGACAAGTATGCAAGATTGTCTCTGGGAAAGAGAAGATGTGCAAAGGACAGAGGACTGTCTTCAGATTTTTTAAGAGCTCTCATGGTGCCATGGAAAGAGTGCTTGATTTAGAGTGGGCAAAACCTGTGTTTAAATCCTGATTCTGCCTGATGCTTACCCCCAGTGTAACTTTGGGCAAGTCTGGTAACCTCAGATTCCTCACCTGTCAAATGAGGGGGTTGACTCAGATGACCTCTAAGGGACCTGACACATATGGAAAAGAAATTCAGTTTCCTTTGTGTAGCCCTAGGATGGGGAAAAACAAAACAAAACTCAAATAAACTAGGAATGATGAATGGAACTTACAGGAGAAGAGATTTCAGCATAATATAAAGAAGTTCCCAGTAATTCGAGCTTCCTAATAATGGAATTGGAAGTTTTCAAAGCAATGTATTTCCTGTCATAAGAAGTACTCAGACAGAGATATTATCGAAGAGCTTATTAGGCTGGCAGGGAGATTGGGCAGTTAATCAGCAGGTTTTTATTGTAGAATGGTGAGATTGAATATAGGGAGACAGATTAAGCAGCTATTGTAATAGTCCAAGGTATGAGAGGGAGCCTCCCAAGACATACCAGAACAGACCCTCTCTGCTGATACTGCCTGAGAGAAGCCTACACTTTTGCCAAAGATTACAAAGTCTCAGGTGAGTAACCACACACCAAAGGGACACAACTTGTGTATTCTCCTCTGTTGTCCATTAAAGTTAGGGGACACAGAAGAGGAAAACTGAGCTGGCTAAGAAGGTCATATTTGAGAATGGAATTTGGACTTCTGGGGCACAGTTTAAAAGGTTATAGACTCCTGGCTACCAATGGAGTTTACCTAAGAAAGGCTGGCAAGACAGGGAGATGGTGCTATGGATAGAACACTGAACCTGGAGTCGGGAAGACTTGAGTTCAAATCCTGACTCAGGGGTGTACCAGCTGTGTGACCCTGGGTAATTCATTTAACCTCTGAGTGTCTCAGTTTCCTAATATGTAAAATGGGGACAATAATAGTACCTACCTCTCATGGCTGTTGTGAAGGTAAAGTGAAATAATGTTTATAAAGTGCTTTGCATGCTAGTATCTTACACGTTTAATCAGAAGGACTTTAAGGCAAATATGAGTGAAGGAGAAAACTTCCTCTGAATAGTCATCTCTGTATCGTAGAGAGTAGCTGTAATGGGGGAAGAAGAAAGGACACACAGAATTGTAAAGAAGGCTGCACTCAAGAAGGAACTATGTGACCTCAAAACGACCAGAATATGGCCTTGGTTTTAAAAAAAAAAAAGCAGTATGGGTAAAAGATGGAAGGGGTGGCATTGTATATTGAGAAGGTTTATGCATGTCAGAGAGTCCAAGAACCAGCGTGGAGAAGTCTAGTGGGAAAGTGTTTGGGTAAAGATCAATGGAACTATAAAGGCCTCTATGCCCAGGCTTCCTCTCCCACTAAGGGGACCCGGCTTAAAACTCCTCACCAGGTCAGGATGAGGAGGCTCCCTTGGGGAGCCTGGCCCCAAATAGAGGGGTCGGCTTCTTCGAGCACTCTCTGGTTCACAAACAACCCAGCTCAAGCACACCTCCTGCAGGAAATCCGTCATGGTTTCCCCACCTGCTACCGCCTCCTATTCACTCGAGACTCCTTCTACCTCTTCCAAGAAGTGAAAGGGAGAGTTAGCAGGGTCCTAATACACACACTCAGAAGAGAGTAAGAAATGAGGAAGAGTTGTTTCTCCCTTTAAGGTCCACTGGGCAGTTCCTCTTTGATGCACTGCTGCCCTAAAGGGTACACCAACCAGAAGCTTCTTTTGTCCAGGGGCTCACTGGAAAAATCCGAAGCAAAGGCCCATCCCTATTCCTGCTCCATGGGACGACTCTTGTTACCAACTGCTAGACAGAAGCATTTTTGTCATCTCAGTATATCCAATAGAGGATAGACCATCTAAAGTCTAGACTGACAGAGGAAATCTTGAAGTTCAGGACAACAGATTAGGAGCCTGGCACAGAGGCTTGATATGGTGGGCATGGGAGACTTCATCTATCCAGCTATCTAGAGCTCTTTCTCTGCCAAAAGTCGAGCAGCTAATAATTTCTTGCCTCACCGTCATGATGATCTCCCCCTTTAAAAGGTGGAAACAGCAATGGAGCATTCTCTTCTGGATCTGATTGTCACAGGACTATTGTGAGTTTGTGACTGCAAAGTAGAGGAGCTCCAGAGCACCTTAGATTTAAAGAAAGAAAACATCAAAGGATTCAGAAGAGAAATAGGTAGGATCTCATGGACTAGCCTTCTTCAAGACAAATTACATTAAGAAGCAGAGAAGACTATTAAGAATGAAATTCTGAAGACGTAAAGGGAAACAATGAGGAAGGAAAATAGGAAATGCCTGAAGAGGAGGGATGTGGATGCGTGATAGACTCCTCAACTAATGTAGATTGTTAGAAAGTTTATGAGAGAAGACTGAAACAGTGGGAAGTCACAGAAAATGACTATGGGAATGTAGCACAGTCCTAATAAAACTAGTGTCGGAAATGTGAAAACAAAATGAGCTAAAGATCGTGGGGGAAGCTAAGTTGAACGAAAAGAGTCTTTTAAGCTGTATTATAGTGATAGGAGGAAAGGGAAGAAGAAGAGAGGGGAAGGGAATAAGTATTTTAAAGTGCCTACTATGTGCTGGAGACTGTGCTAAGCACTTGAAAAATAGTATTTTATTTGATCCTCTCAATGGCCTTGGAAAGTGGGTGCTTTTATTAGTTCCATTTACAGTTGGGGAAACTGAGAAAGATAGAGGTAAGTGACTTGTCCAGGGTCACATAGCTAGTAAGTGTCTTAGGCAGGATTTGAACTCACATTTTCCTGATTCCACATCTAACATTGCTATTTGCCAGCTGCTTGGGTTGGGTGGGATGATGATAACTCACAAGAGAGAAGGAAAAGCTATGCAAATTCTATTTTCTCTGGCAAGGAGAATGTCCTTTGCCCTGGAAATGATAGACACTCAAGAAAGGAAGTTAGTTATAGGACATCTAGTTGCTCATGATCAATCCAATCATAAAAAATTTAGCAAATGAGATGGCTAAGTCACAGACATATTTGAAAGATCTTGGAAAACAGGAGAGGTATCATGGAAGATCAAATGTTGTGCCTATTTAAAGAAAGAAAAAGCAATAGAACAATTCTGCCAATTATAGGCCAGTGAACTTGACTTCAATTTCTGGGGAAATTCTAGAACAGATCATTGAAGCAATGATTAGTGAACATCTAGAAAAAGCAAGGGTGTTTAACAAGGGGCAGCATGGCTTCATCATGGGGAAGTCATACTAGACTACCGTCCTTTCCCTTCTTTTGACAGCATTACTAAATTAGTACATTGAGGGTACACAGTAGATATCATTTACCTAGACTTTAGCAAAACAGTTGATACTGTTTTATGCTATTTTTGCAGAAAAGATGGTGAAATGTGAATTAGACGATAGTACAATTAGATGGTTTGAGAATTGGTGGAATGGCCAACTCAAAGAGAAGGTGTTGATGGTTCCATGTCAACTTGGTAGATCCCCTCCAATGGGTACATGATGGACCTGAGCCTGGCCCGATATTTTTTAACATTTTTATCTGTGACTTGATAGAGGCATAAAAGATATGTTTATCAACTTTGCAGTTGACACAAAGCTAGGAGAATTAGTTCCCATGATGGATAGTAGGGTCAGCATCCAAAAACTCTTGACAGGCTCCTACATCCTGTCAACAATATCTCAGGACTGTATGGAGTGTCCCAAATGTCTTAGTGCCATTTTTAGCTTTAATAGTTTTTGGATGTTCCATCTTTCTTTCAAAAACTTTTAATAATAATATTTATGTTCCATTGATTACTAAGCTTGTGCATTTAATTATCATTTGGATTTTCTCCCTCATCCCCCTCTAGGAATATGAGGAGACACCTGCTGTACTTTTTTCTAGCCCAAACCCATGTGGGATTATCAACCCCCACAGCGCAGTGGAGTTATGGGTGATCTTGGAGACTCAGATCCTTGGAGAATACGAGGGCACAGTTTACATTGCCATCTTTGGGAGCAAGGACCCACCACTGGTGAGAATGCTAAAAAGTGACCAAATATTGTTCTGCCCCGGCACAGAGGCACAGTTGGAGCTTGCCATGCTATTGGCTGCACCCATCATGCAAGTTCTTATCTTTCGGCTTCTTGCAATTGTGAAGTTTTTTGATTGAGTGGCAGAGTGAGAAAAATGCCATTCTGAGGCCTCTGCTAAGAACAAATACTCCAAGTGCGCCTGCTCCTGTATGCAGGTGGGCAGAAAAGAGGTTTACATTCTCTTCACATGTGTAATCACTAGAATCACATTCATTAAACAACTTTCTAGGTTCTCTGAGCTCCATATAGTCCCTTGTGCTGACAGCTTGCTGCATTTCTAATGCAGGGCATTCCATCTTTGGTTTCCTCATATGTAAAGTGCAGGGAGGTTGGAGCCAATGACCATCTACATCCCTTTCAGCTCTATGATCTGTGGTCTCTCTAAACCTGAGACTTATCGTGATTGAGTCTGATACTGACCCGAGCAAGGGCCATGATAACTGTTATCCATAGCCCCCTGGCTTAACCTTTACTTACAAAGGTCTAGCTATCCGTTTACATTTTCTGTAAGTGATCGTGTTTGCCGAGAGTCAGGAAAATCACCTAGTGATTTCACTCGTTGAATGTTAGCTGCCACAGAAGCTATCTCACTTATGAATCAGTCAGTTCTTCAGCATCCCAAACGGAAGCCAGAAAAGAGATTTTCTCCCCCAAAGCTATGCATACCTACTTAAATGATTTGACACCATTTCCGAATGCACTTAGATGTTGCTGTTCATACTGTTAAGCTTTCTCTTCTTTGGATAACATTTTACTGTCACCTTTCATGTTCATTTGCCTAAAAGCCTCAAAGATATAGATGTTAACTGATTCAGGGAATCCTTCAGCCTTACATGTGTGAACAATCTACTAAAAATCCTGACATAAGCCCACTTATATCCAAGCACTCAAAAAAATGTCACTAACCTACTCTTCAGAGGGATTCTATTCTTTCTGGTACTACTGTTTTCTCGAGAAATCTGTATGGTTAACCTGAGTTAGTTTATAAGTCAAACTAACAACCCAGATGGTTGCTGAGCACTAGTCCTTGAGACATACTCAGCTATTCCAGGGAGAGCTACCTCTACCTGTGATTCTTTTGGAACTAGGGCATATGTGCCTGGGGTTTTTCAATTCATCTTTCCCTTCCTTAAAATCTCCCATTTATATTTAGAATTAGCAAGTGAAGGAGGAGCAGGTATTGTTCTCAATACTGTTGAGGAATATTGCCTGCTTGCATGTGAAACGACTGGGTGTTATTGTGGAAAGAACGGTTGATTCAGTGGGAAAAGAAGGCTCCAGAAGCCTGGTCATGCCATTGACTGAGGTGTGTCAGGAAATTCAAATGGACAGGGAATTTTTGAGCACCTCTTCTGTGACATGCAAGGACCAAATAGTCCTCACCCTGGAGGAGCTTATTCTCTGCTGGGCATAAACAACTTGTATGATGTGTTTACAGAATGATCCAAGGATAGGAGGAAGCACTAGCTGCAGGTAGGCCCAAGAAAGGCCTCATGTAGGAGCTGGTCCCTGAACTGTGCTTTGAAAGGAGACAGAGATCTTATAGAGGGAATGAGAGGGGAGAGGACATTCTAGTTGCTGGGGAACGGGAAGGAGGCCAGTGTGCAAAGTAATGCGTTATTGGTCTGGAGAAAAAGGTGGGGGCCAGGCTGTGAGAGGCTCTAAATGGCAAACAGAGGAGCTTTTATGTTATCCTAGTGGCAACAGAGAATTCACAGAAGCTTCTTGAATAGGATGATAACATAAACCAGGGAAAGCAACCATTGTCCTTCTAAGACACTTGGTCAGCCACAGAATCCAAGTCTGGGTGGGTCTGAATCAGGATGCCAACACCAGCAAGAAGGGATGGAGGCCCTCATTACTGTCTTGAATTATGATTTCTGGTACAGGAATGAGAAGAATTTACTATCTTGATTAAAATGATAGGTCAGTCTTCTCTCCGTTCTTTCCCTTTCTTGGGGTGCAGAGTGTCCACTTAAGGAGCATTGGAGAAGGCCCTGTAGTCAATGTGTTTCCTGACAGAATTGATTTTGGCAACATCTATGTCCTGAAGGATACATCCAAGACACTCCATCTATCCAATCAATCTTTCATTACTGCCTTCTTTACTGCACATTTGGTGAGTATGTGATGGAACTGTGGAAACACCACTTTGGAAATTCCAGCGCTACCCAACATATCTTGGGAAAACGATGGCCAAAGGTAATTACATTTGCACAATGTTTCAACCATCAAATACGGCCTCTTTCCACATTTTGTTCTTTATTATAATCCTTCTGTTGCTCTAATGCCTGTAAGATGCAGTATGACGTAAAGGAAAGCACTAGGCCTAGAGTCAAGTGGGGACTTATTTTTAAGGTAAGTGCCTATAAAATAATTTCATATCTATAGAATAGCTCAGAAGTCAACTAGTTCTTTTTTTCTAAATGCATTTCTTAATTTTAAAAATATTTTTAATTGTTTAAACAAAATTTCAATATATAAGCAACAAAAAGAATTGGATGTGAGCCCATAGTTTGGTTTTTAAAAGTGTGTATTACATTGAACAAGGTAGTGATCTAACTATGCTTTTTTGTTCGCATCTCTTTCTTAACTTTTTGTTATTTTTTGTGTATTTTAAAATGTTCTGTTGATGCTCTTTTTTCTTGCATCTCAATTACTACTAACCCCTTCCCCTCCCAACAATTAAGTTAATTCAAGGAAAACAAAGAAACACATTGGCTGTGTCTGAAAAATCTTGGGCCTCATTCTGTAGCCTTAGCTCACCACCTCTCTACCAAGGGACAAGGAGCCTGTATAAACACTACATGGTACAGACAAGCGGGGCAGATGGAACTGAAAGGTCAAGAAACCTACTGAGCAGGCTTCAGCAGCTGGGACCTCTCTTTTTTTTTGTGGGCTGGGTCTCCCCTAGGAGCTACTCCCCTCAAGAGAATGGATTTTCAGAGGAGAGGGGAACAAATCTCTGTTGTCCCTTTGATATTTACTCTTGTTCCACCCCTGCTCCCTGCCCCTCCATCTGCCCTCCCCTCGCCCCCAGCTTGCATGTGCAAGGAATAGTCGGGGCAGAACATTACTGTCTTTCTCCCTCAAACAAAATATTATCTCAATGCTTGGGTCCTTGAATTTCCAGCCATAAAATCTCTCTCTGGAAGCACAGACTTGTTCAAACCTGAATGAAGACTTTAGATCTCCTTCCCTGGTTTGCTGTCTCCATACCCAATCTCATGTGTACAATGTGAGACAAATATAGCTGACACAGGCAAGATCACTGTCTTTTTAATTCAGTTCCCCAAAGCACAGCACAGCCCTCAAACTGTTAAATAATTCTACGCTATGGCTGCTTACATGGGGGACTGGGGGTGAGAAGGCTATGGCTACTCACTTCCCTCTGTTTTGAGTGTGTCTTGGTAGGTTGACCTCGAGATATTTTGTATGTTTTGTAGTACTTTGAATGAAGTTTCTTTTTCTTTTTCTATTTCCTCTTGCTGGGTTTTGTTAGCGAGATACAGAGACTAATGATATGAGAGCATTATTTTATATCCTGCCACTTTATTAATGTTATTATTTCAATTGATTTTGGTTGATCTTTGGGGCCCTCTGAGTAAATCACTTGGTTTATCACATGCAAATGCTATTAATTTTGTTTCTTTTTTACGTATACTCATTGCCTCAATTTCTGGGGGTTTTTTTGTATTATTACTTTCTCTAGCATTTCTAGAGCCATATCAAATAATAGTGGTACCAACGGACATTCTTGCTTTACTACTGATCTTATTGGATAGGCCTCTAGAGTGTCTCCATTACAGATAATGCTAGTTTTGGATTTGCTAGTTATTGATACAGTTTACCATATTACATGGAGATCCATTTATTCTGAAGGTTTTTTTAGTGTTTTTGTTTGTTTGTTTTTTTAATGAGGCAGTCAGAGTTAAGTGACTTGCCTAGGATCACACAGCTAGTAAGTATCATGTCTGGGGCTGAATTTGAACTCAGGTCCTCCTGACTCCAGGGCTGATGCTTTATTAACTGCACCTCCTAGTTGCCCCTTTTAGTGTGTTTTTTTTTTAAATAGGAATGTCTATTTTGTCCAAAACTTTTTCCTTATCTATTGGTATAATCATGAGATTTTTATTGTCTTGTTATTATTATGGGCAATTATGTTAGTAGTTTTCCTAACATTGAACCAACTTCTTATTCCTAATATAAGTCCCATGTTGTCAGAGTGATTAATCTTTTGGCTATGTTGCCATGTTGTACCAAGAAATCAGCGAGCGAGACCCAGATGTAATTTAAAATGTGGATTTATTAGCGTGCAGCTGCAAGGGGTATGCACACCCAAATCAAGCAGCTCAGGTCAGGGGTTGAGCTAGGGTTTATATGGAAAAGAGCATGGGAAAGAAATGCCAGGAACACTGATGAGGTAATCCAAAAGTGCAGGTGACTTTGGGGGCTATGGATGGGAAAGTACAGGGAGTATACCGGACAGGGAGGGAGATGACAGAGGTATGGATCTTTGGAGTCTGGCAGGAGGAAGAGTCCTTGGGCTGGCCAAGGACACCCCTCTCCCTCTGTCTTGATGAGAGAATTCTCTGCAACAAGGGAAAGCTTTCTCACAAGACAGGAACTTACTAAGGAATTGGGAGGCTTCCAGAGACATGATCTGAGGGCTGGGGCCTGAGCAGCCCAGCTCTGTGTAGCTGTACCAGGGTGAGAGATAAGGGTCATGCTGAGGCCCATGCATGAATACTGCTAGGCACAGTGTCCTTGGGCTGGGAAGTGGTTGTCAGCGACAGTATTTCTGAGACTAGGGACAAATTGGGGCACAAGTACAAGCACAAGCACACGAGCACCCCATCATTACAGATCAGAGATCACACAAACCAGACCAGGTATCCTGGTCTCTGGTATAAACATAATTATCTAAAGCAGTTATATCTCAAGCTTTCTTATCCATTTGCATTGGAGGTACAGGCTATGCTGAGCTATACAAGAGTGCATTTCACTATTGTTTAGATTTAGGAGGAGAGAGGTCTGGGGCAAGATTAAGCAATAATTTCTGCTTTCCATGGCTTAAAGGGCCCTACTACCTAAAATGGTAAAATAATGTTCTGCATTACAGCTATAGTCACTTTGCTAATATTTTCTTCAATATTGTTGCATCAATATTCATTAGGAGATGCAATGGTCTATGGTGTTTTTTTCCCTCTGCTTTAACTCTCTTTGGCTTGGGTATTGGGACCATATTTATCTCATAGAAGGAGGTTGTCAGGATGCCTTTTTTCCTCTATTTTTTGTGAACAATTCATGTAATATTGGAGGTAGTTTTTAGAATCAAAAATCATAGAATTTGAGAGTTGAGGGGACTTCAATAGCCATCTAGTTTGACTCATGCGTGAAAGGAATCCAAATCATAGCACACCTGACACATAGTCATCTATCCTCTGCTTGAAGACCTCCAAGGAGAAGGAGCCCATTCCTTTTCTTGTTATTGTTATTTTTCTATAGCCAAGGAAAACAAATTCTCTAATTGGTTATGTTCAAAAAATGTACATCTCTTTCTGCAGCTTGAGTCAGTCACTGTTCTGTCAGAAGCTGCATAGCATTCTTCATCACTGGTCCTTTGAAGTTGTGGTTGGATATTATGTTGATCAGAGTTCTCAAGTCTTTCAAAGTTGTTTGTCTTTATAGTGTTGCTATTGTATTAATTGTTCTCCAGGTTCTGCTGACTTCTCTCTGCATCAGTTCATACAACTCTTCCGATGTTTCTCTAAAATTGTCCCCTTCATAATTTCTTATAGCACAATTACAGTCATATGCCATAAGTTGTTCAGCTGTTCCCCAATTGATGACCTTAATTCCAAGCTCTTTCTCACCACAGAAGAGATGCTATGCATATTTTTATACGTATAGGTTCTTTTCTTCTTGCTCTGATCTCTGTGGTACATACACATTGTCTTGGTATTACTGAAACCCAACCCACCCCATTCCCCCTTAAGCAACCCTTCCAATTCTGCATCACTCTAAATGTTAGGATGTTTTCCTGATGTCAGGTCTAAATTTAACTTTTTGCAGCTTTCACTTGTGGTTTCTGGTTCTTCTCTCTGGGGTCAAAAAGATTAAGTCAAATGTTTCTTCCACATGACAGCCCTTTGAATATTTTAAGACAGCCATCGTGTCTTCTTTTCTTTAGGCCCAATGTCCTCATATGACAGGGAGTCAGGTCCCTTCACCATCATAGTTACTCTTCTCTAGTCATTCCCTGGTTTATCGTTCATCTTAAATTGTACCATGCTAAACTGAATGTAAGATTCCAGATGAGGTCTAATGAAAGAAAAGTGTAGTGAGACTCTTGCCTTCTTATTCCTGTAAGGTGTGCCTCTCTTAACATAGAACAGGATTGCATTAACCCTTTTTGGCTGCTGTATCCTAATGATGACTCATATTCAGCTTGCCACTCACAAAGACCACCAGGCCTTTTTCAGAACAACTCTATGGAACTCTGAGACATCTTGAACTTTTGAAGTTGATTGTCTTTTGTACCCAAGTCTAGAACTTTCTATTTCTTCCTATTGATTTTCATTTTATTAGACTCAGCTCTAGTGTTTAAATCTGTCAAGGTCTTTTAGGACCCTAATTCTGCTGACCAGTGTGTTGGTTACCCCTCCCAGCTTGGTGTGACTTTTATATTTGATGAGCATACCAATTTCCCCATTAAGTTCAATAAATTCACCTGCACATGTGAGCTTGGTGTTATTCCTTTAATACCTCATTTATGTCTTGTTCAATTTATTTCTTTATGCAATCTGCTTGTTTAAATTCTCCTTTTCTTCTTCTGTTAATTTAGGTATCAGTTATTTTTTTTGTAAGTAGCTTCTTAAGTCCCTTCCATCTTTACATCAATAATCCAGTGGTATCATATTCTAAGCCCTTCCTTTCAGTAATTACTGCAATTATTATGACAATTCTGACTATAATTCCTTGATACTAGATCTCTTCTTGTCTGCTTGCAGTATTTTTTCTTTGACTTGGACACTTTGGATAGGGGCTATTACATTTATGAGTATATTCATTTTCAGTTTCTTTCAGGAAGCACCCTTTGTAGTTTTCTTTTTTCAA